CCTGACAAAGGTAGTATTTGTGTGATGGAACAAAATAGAGGTTCCTTCAAAATAAAATAGTGCGTCGGTTTATCCAGTATGTGTTGAGAGGCGACAGAGGCACATTGAAACAGGAATTGGAAACCAGCGTCTTCCTGATAACAGATCAAATTAATATGTTACGAGCTTAGGGTTCGTGACAATAAAAACTGCCGATTGAATTACCAAAATTGACACTTTAATTACTGAACACAAATTAAAAATCCGTAAATTTAGTTTTATTCAATGTGTAGTGTTCGCGTAAATTTAAGAAATCATTACACAAATTAAAACTTAAATCACACTAATAATTATTCATACTTAACACTTTAGTTCACTTTATTTCACTCCGAAAGCTTCGCTCGTATTGCCAACTCAATACTGCCCCGGTCGCGGCCTCCAATGGCTTTAAATAGGCCTTCCAGCAAATACCGGTCCCGACCGACTAAGTGCAGAAAGTTCGTGTGGACTTTTCTAGAAAGCCCTCCTCGCTCTGTTCCCCGACACTAGATGGCGCTAGTGCCAATTACCAGATATCAACTTAGGCGCGCAACAATATAAATCTGAGGTTGTCAACCCGCCCACCAAGTGTCAACTATTAAGGATATTTGAGGATATGACGCAATAGATGCGGGAGGCTTGTTTTCAGCAGTGGATTTTGAATAAGGCATAATGAATAAATACGCTTCAATCCATACGATCCGAATTCAATCCAAACGTATCGAAATACTAAATCTAAAATAGATTCTGTTTAAAGATAAATTTTAAATTTCAGGGTCTAAAACATAGTTGGTTTCGTTCAAGGCCCCTCCCAGCTGCCATGGAAGACATGCCCAAACCGAACACAAACAAACCGAAATAATATATCAATTAAACGGAAAACATTTGTTTCAATACTTTTATTCCCCTGAAATCGCTTAACACTATCTGCGTACATAATATATTAAAAATAACAAAAATTTACAGTGAAATTGTACTTTTATCAGTTACGTACATTTAAACCAATGTATTTATATTTTATACATTTGACACACTCGTAAGTATTATTTTTATTAACATGCAAGTAACGGTAAACGACGACGACGTTGCAAAATAAAATAACAAAAATGTAAAATATGCAAAATGGCATTATTTAAAATTAATATAAGGATTTACCATATTATATAGGATTAACATTAATCCATGTTATATACACACATTAGCATCTGAATATTGAACATACTGAATATTTTTTTAATTTTTACATTCACTTGTTTCTTGTTTCTTAAATGGTAAGTTTATTTCCACTATTTCCATACAGTCAAACTACACTAAATATGCATATTAGGATTTAGTGTAGTACTTATAATATTTTATTTTTTCTTTCCTCCTCTAAATAATTAATGTTTATACACTATATATCTACGTAAATCAAATAATTTAATGAGTTGATTACTACAATCGCTTTTATTTGAGATTCTTTACTTTTTCGTATTCAAAATTGTTTTAAAAGTATCTCAAAAGGTAGGACAGTACTATGAAAGTAAAGAATCAACAAGAACACATATAGTATTGATTACAAGTAGAACGAAATTATCATATTTTGGTATATATTCAAATTACAACAGAAATATTTTTAAAGCCGATGTAACTGTATAACAATTAATAAACAAAACTTATACCGTCTTATTACAAGAAGTGGTTTGTAATCAGTCTCAGGCGAAACTAGTCTGATTCAAGAAAGAAATCCCGTAAAAAAAAATATGCGAACCAACGTTTTAAGTACGAGACTGTCAAATAAACAACCACCTTTTGTAATAAAGCTGTTTTTATATAATACGGTAAACCACGTATATTTAAAATTGGAGATCATAAAATGAAGCAACCGCTGACATATCTTACCAAAAAGAAGCTCCAATATTACATTTTCCTAAAATATCGCTTACAAATTACAAATTATAAGATACTTGGAATTAAAAACATTTATAAATGACACAATAATACATATTCACTAACAGTATGATGTCGATTTGTCATATTTAGTTTAATATTAATGTTTACATAGAAATATTGAATATTGAGAAAAGATATATGCGTTCCAAAAATACGTTTCATAAACTATTTTTAAATAAGAATTTCAAATCTAATTGAAATAAAACTTTTAAGGTGAATTTAATGTGTAGTTAACTGTCTTTCTACTGTCTACTGGCTACACTAAGCTAGCAGCGCTGCTTCAGTAATTTTTTAAATCGCTATTTGGCGAACACTAGCAGTTAAAGTTCCATTGGAAATATTCTTACCTTTACACTTAATGAATAGAATAGAAAAGTAACTGTCCTATTTGAGACAAAAGTAATATAGCTTATTACTGCTTTAAAAGCTCCTAGTTGCATAAATGTATCTAAAATTATATTTAATATCAATTTCAGTATCTCTAAAGCAGACAAAAATGTGGAATTTTATTAACAGAACCACAGCCTTTATCAATTACATCAAATTGCGCAATTTCTATATAACATTATTTCTACGAAAGTATCTGCTTATACCATAGAATATGACATTATATAAGCGTAGTAAAGCCACATCTTACACGCCGAGCGTGTAGCGCCAGTGTAGGAATGACCACAACCCCATATCTTCCTGCAGATATCATAAGTGACACTGAGAGATCGGACAGCAGCTTTTTCCTAATAACAAATGGTAAAATAAAAACTGCGGTTGCCAACCTCTCTGCCAAGCGTGCCAACAATAGCAAATGCCTGTGAGGCAATCTAATGAGAAACCTATGTCCCGTAGTGAACTTTTGATATATAACGGTACCACGCTGTAGCTGTACCACTGTATGAAATCTGAGCGGTGTTTACTGTATGAAATCGTCTACACGAGGTTATTTTGCAATAATCGGCCAAATTTCTATAAAAGGTTCAGAATAACTAATATAGGCAAATGGTGAAGAAAAATTAATTCAAAAAAAATTCAAACATTCTGTCCTTTTTATCTTTGAAATTAAAAAGGCGTGGTAATGCATTATTTTAACTGATTTTACTGCGCACGCACATTCATAAGGGTTGATCGATGGACAAAAATGTTGTTGCTCATAAATGCCAAAAAAAAAGTAGAAGCCTTATTTACTCGTATTTTCAAAACCTGCAATAACGGCATATCATTATTTAAATATTTGAACGTAAGTTTAAAATATGGCTACTCTTTGAAAAATAACCCTGTATATTAGTTAAAATTTAAAAAAAATACCGAGAATATTCAATTTTTTTTATAGAATTGGGTGAAAACGAGCATACAGTCCACTTGATGATAAGTGGATGCTGTGGCTTATAGACATTCACATTTATCCTCAATTAAGAATCAAAACGAAAGAATCAAATGCCTGCGGACAATTGATTGCCTTGATTCCAATAAAAAAGGGTCTCCGGTTTTCTACATGACCATACAAAACAGCAGCATTACGCTGGTATTCCGTGAGAGCGTGGTCCCGCCACGGTCGAGCCGAATATAGCTGCAGCGTAGCTCTACTACGTAAAAAAATCAGGCAAAAACTGACAAAACTTACTTTTGTCTGACAACTGTCCAACATAAAAAGTTTATGGTCAGTAGGAGAAAGCAACCTTTTAATATTAACTAATACATGAAAAGAATACTTCCGTTCTTCAGTTACCCATCTTGAACGCTATTTGTAATCAACAAGGTCTAAAAATGCCTTTTGGTATTAATTCTAAGGGAAAAGTATAACAATATTCGAAACAACATTAATTATTAACAGCAAAGTTATATTTATAATTTAATATGTTTTATTTACAACACTCTATAAGAGCAATTAACAAACCCCTAATATATAATATAGAGTTAATGTTCTATTTGTCTCGAATATTTTCATAAACTGTTATGCTTCCTCTACACTACTCGCGAAGTAGATCGAAGTTGGACGAGGCGAATAGTGTAGAGAGGTACTTCGATTCACTTCGTCCAACCTCGCTTCGCCTCGGGCGACTTCCGATCGCTGTCGGTTTTTTGCGCCAGAGTCAAAGGACTTCGCGAAGTACCCCGAAGTGACACGAAGCATCTCACTACACTACTCGGCGTACGTCCATTAGCGCTTTGACGCCGTACTGCTCACTCGTGGGTGCGCGCGCATAAAATTGGGTACATATAATGAGTGCGACTTGGTCACAGGAACAAGTCCTTTTCTTCTTGGAAACACTACAATCAGAGCGAGTTATTTGGGACCCAACTGACAGAGGACATAAAGATAGAAAAAAAATCAACGATGCTTGGGTGCGCATTCAAGGAATTTTCAATATGCCTATCCTAGAACTGAAAAAAAAGAAAGAATCTCTTTTTGCCACCTACAGTGGCTATTGCAGAAAAAACAAGAGTCACTTAAATCCGGTGCCGGCGTGGATGATATTTATCCCTTAATAAGGCAAAGGGATATAGTTTCCCACCAAGACTATTTTGAAAAACATGTTTATTTTACATGAAAGATAGCCCATAGAATGAACGCAACCGAAATATACCATTCTTTAGAAGATTTTAAATTTCATAACTTGCAACACTTTTCAAAAAATGACTACCTTATATTGAAATGTCAATGTCAAAGTTCAGTGACGTGAAAAAGTGCTAAAATAATGGTCGATTTTTGGTTACTTCCGAGAAAAAATCTTTTATTGTTCAACGAAAAATCTTGTAAGTAGATTATGTTTCCATCTTTTATGAAATGACAACTTTAGCTATGTTTTTTTATTGATTTTATGCGTATAACATTGATAACAGCGTTAAAATCTGCGAAATACTAAGTGGGAAAATTATTCCCTTGGCCCGATTGAGTTTATAATTTATTTCTTATTATATATATGAAAGTTTGAACTCACAAATATGTCAATACAAAATACAAATAATAATAGAATGCTGAAATTTGAATGAAAGCAAGCTTCTTAGGGGATGTAGATGTGATATTTACATGTAATAATTTATTTGTAGGATTCACCATGAATAAAAAAACAAATTTAGGGAAACGGGAGTTAGAAGATATCATGAACAACCTGTCAGATTTATCCGATCTTGACTCAGATGATGATGCCTATTACCAAACAGCCCCTGTAACCAGCCCGGCAGATTACCAGAATGAGTCTCAAGATGTTATTGTTGAAAGGCGTCTTGAAGAGTTGTTTGGTGTATCTGATAACTTGAAAGAAACTATTGAAAGCCACGAAATATATTCAGTAGAAGCACTCACAGATATTTTAGAAATAAATAGTCCTAGACCTATTGGTAGTGTGGGTGAGACAACAGGACAATATGATGTTCTCCCAACAGAGGAAAATATTGCAACTTATGAAGAAAGCTTTGTTATGGATTGCAACCAACGAGAAACTGAAATAGAGCAATGCTTAGATGATATCCGTGAAGAACACTCCCACTATACTCCAATATCTACAGATGACTTAAGTGCAAGACCTTCAAGCAGTAATGTTATTGTAACAGAACCGGATCGTCGCTCAAGATCAAGCAGAACTATGAATACAGTAAGACAACCAAGGGAGTGGAAAATTGAAACAGAGATACACAATGTTCCTGAATTTACCAATTCAATTCAACCACAATCAACATATAGTCATAAGACGCGGCCTATCGATGTTTTTCAAAACTTTTTCCCAGAATATTTAGTACAAGTTCTAGTGGAACAAACAAATAGATATGCGGTTCAGAATAAAAGCAATAATTTTACACCAGTATTATCAGAGGAAATGAAAGCTTACCTTGGAATATTAATAATGATGGGGTTAAACCCATTGCCTGATATGGAGCTATATTGGTCTAATGACCCTTTTTACAATAATGCAGAAATTTTAAAAATTATGCCTATCAAAAGATATAAAAAAATAACTGAAAATTTACACATAAATGACAATGAAAAAGAACCAAATAGGAACTCACCGGAATACGATAAAATGTACAAGTTGAGACCAATGATTCAAGAGCTTAATAAATTGTTCCAGCAGGAAACAGGTAATTCAAGTAAACAATCAATAGATGAATGCATGGTGAAGTTTAAAGGAAGATCATCTTTAAAGCAGTATATGCCAAAGAAGCCAATCAAGCGTGGCTTCAAAATCTGGGCACGTTGTGATTCTGTAACCGGCTATCTGTACCAGTTCGAAATTTATACCGGGAAAGGAGACAGTATGGAAGACGAGGGACTGGGGTACAATGTGGTTAAAAAGCTGTCAGCCGGCCTTCCTGAGAACACTCTGATAGCGTTTGATAACTTTTTCACTAGCTGTAACCTAATGGAAGATTTGTACGAAAATGAAATTTTTGCTGTTGGTACAGTTAGAGTAAATAGAAAAGATCTTCCGGAAATTTTTAAAAAGTCTCAACCAAAACATTTAAGACTTGAAAGGAACCAATTTGCAGCTGTAACTGCTAAACCAATTACAGCAATCAAGTGGCTTGATACAAGGGATGTTAATATTCTTACAACAGCTCACCATCCAACTGACACAGTATTTGTAAAGAGAACTCAGAAAGATGGTACTAAAAAAAAGTTCTCATCCCCACAGCTATCGCTCAGTATACGCTCACCATGGGAGGCGTCGATCACTTTGATCATTTCAGATCATCATATCCGATCAATAGAAAATGCAGGAAATTTTGGATGAGATTGTTTTTCTTTATGTTTGATGCGGCAATCATAAACAGCTATATAACCTACAACACTGTGCATGTAGCAAGTACTCATTCTCATAGAAATTTTCGATTGCGATTGGCTCGTGAGCTGATATCAAATTACTCTAACAAGGTAAAACGCCAGGTTGTTTTCAAAAACAAAAAGGGCTCCAACTTTGGAGTTCCAGATGCGATACGTTTACTCAATGTCGGCGTCCATCTTCCAGATGAAGGAAATACTTACAAAAGATGCCGATTTTGTAGCACAAAAAAAGAGGAGAGAAGAACAAAAATAGTATGTTCCACGTGCCAAGTTGCACTATGTGCAAAGAAATGTTTTAAATTATTCCACGAGGCTTCACCCCAAGAATAATTATATTTTTAACACGCTTTTAGCTTACTTGTAATTAGCTATATTAATTATTAGAATAAAAATGCGATTGCAATACCGCTTTTTATTTAGCATGCATGATAATATTCATAGGTAAATAAAATAAAAGTTCGTAACGCATAAAAAAAAATTAAAAAATAAATGAAATGAAAAAAGCGAAACCAGGTGAAATACTAGTATATGAATAACAACAAAACTAGGCATAATTCCCTTTGCCTAAATAGGCGAAGGGAATTATTTTCCCACTTCGAGACACAGTGCACATACATAATCGGGCAAAGGGATATTATTTCCCACCCAAAAAAGGGGGTAAAAAACCATCCCCCCTTTTTCAAAATACTTTTTTTAAATTCTGCAGTATCTATTTACACTATTTCCACTGTAACTTACTTTCTAGCTGTAACACAGGCGCGAGCCTTATTAAGGGTTATCTTCCAGTATGGTTTGCATTTGAACATAATATGGATAATTTTTTGGGACCAGTATTTAATGTAAACAAACAATGACAACGGTGAGTTTTTATTATTTAATTAATGAGTAGGTTAAAAATTAATTCATTTCAATGCAGGCTAATGTAAAGTAAATGCACACCTGTTTCACTGCTTTATTCAAATACGAGTATATTATGAAAATGTATTTTATTTCCATATTTCATGAATTCCAACAACAGATAGGCAAGATTTCACAAAAGTATATGAATGGTGTTGTTACTGTATCTTTTTTACATTTGTATGCATTGTATGATTTTCATTACATTTAGTAATAAATTTTAACCGACTTCAAAACGGAGGAGTTTTGCATCTCGAGTGTGTTTGTTTTGTATGTATGTTACGCGATATCTTCGCAGATTGTTACACAATTTCGATGATTCTTTTTTTATTAAATAGTGTGAAAGTGATCCCATATAAGAGTGGTCTCATTATAATTTGGAGAAAAAAAAATCATCTCAAAGTGTAGAAAATAAATAACTTTGTTTTTAGCGATTTGAATTCGGTTTTTACTTTTTGTCAAAAGTTTATAACTTTTATTAACAAACAAAAACGGAACAAAAAAGTCTTTTATTGACCAAATAATCTTTATTAGGTTTTTTACATAATTAATAGTATTTATATGCCGGATTTCTATATCCAAGGATTTAATAAGCATACAATAACTAATTATTTCTAAAAAGATACTCCGCAAAATGATCTCTTATCTGAGTTGCAGATAATGTTGATCTGCGTGGTATTCGTGCAATATTTCTCAAAGCACAGTTTTTATCAACGTTCTGCCGCCAAGTTCCAGGTTGAATTAATACTCCGTTTTCATCATATGTGTCCACAATACCGGGTGGCATATAAATATGAGATGAATTATTAATTTTTCTGAGAAAGTTGTGCAATAAGAGACAAGTCATTATAATAATATGAACGGTGTCGATATTTATATCAATTGGCTTTTTGAATATTCTAAACCTGTTTGCTAAAATACCAAAAACATTCTAAATTACAACCCGAGACCTTGACAAGCGTGTATTAAAAATTCGTTTAGGTGAACCAATATTATGAGTACCAGGATAAGGTTTCATTATATTATTATGCAAAGCAAATGCTCCGTCAGCCAAAAACACGTAGGGAATATTAGCTTTATCAGCGCTAGATAATGAGCGTGGCTTAGACAAATTAAGAGTTTCGGATGAAATTTTTTGCCACAACGAAGAATTTTTAAATACACCTCCGTCACTGATCCTTCCTTGACTACCAATGTTGGCATACATCAATTTATAATTACAGTCCACTAAAGCCAATAGTAACTATACTGAATGTCTTCTTATAATTGAAGTACTCAGAACCCGAATTGTCTGGACATTGTATAATAATATGCTTTCCATCAATTATACCAACAGCATGCGGGAAATTATTTTTAAATCCGTTTTCAACTTCTAACCACTGCTGCTCATTGACTGGCATCTGAAAAAACAAAAAAAAATATTTATAACTAGATTGCGTTTTTGATTTCAGGACACTGCAACTGTTCCTAATGAACTTGAAGAGGAAAATGAGGCCGCCGAATCAACAGATTCTTCGATTCCACCAGATACGCTTAATTCATGTGAGGCACTCGATCCAACACCAACGCAAAATAGGACTATCCGGCGTCGTCTCAACCCACCAGAATTACAAATTGCCAGCAAACAAATGTCTGAGGCATTTAACAATTTAAATAAAATGATTAACAAGCAAGATGTTGTTGAAGATGAGTGTGATATATTTGGCAAACTGATTGCCAAAAAATTAAAGAAGATGCCTGAACATGAAAGGGAAGAATAATGTTTTAATAAGAAAATGTTCGACATTCATGCCTTATTTCGAAGACCACGTAGTGTTAAAAGATCATCTGTTGATTCATTACGTTCCCCTACACCAACTTGTAGAAATTATCCTAATGTCACAATGACTTCTCCCAGGCCAAACTCATCATTTTCAGAGCCTCACAACTCATTTGTAGCATTTTCCGATGGAACTGACAGAAGACAATAGATGTTACATATCCCGGAAACAAATGAAAATACTTTCCTTAATGAAAAATCTTCAATGGTTCACATTATAAGGGATGAAGTTGTTAGGCCAGCTGATAAAATTTCGTCGGTAACCAGCCCAACTACAATCCAAACTCGATTCGTCCCCTACCAAACGTCTCCTATGAATAATATAATAAATCAATCATACTATAAGTCTGAATAATACCTACTCATCATTTGAATTGTAATTTTAATTAGTAATAAGTTTAAATTAAATTATGTTCAAAAATCTTAAACATCTACCTTTATTTCATCCTTGAGAACGTCGGTAAGAGCTTTGCAAACATCAACTACTATTTTTGAAATTAACTGACTTGAAATTTTTAATAAATAATGCAGGCTTTTAAAACTGTCGCCAGTTGCTAAAAACCTCAAATTGACTGCTAAACGAATCTTGGCAGGTATAGCTTTCCTTAAATGAGTATCTTGCTTAGAGATAGTGGCAGAACTTTGGAAAGCAAGTAATTAAAATGCGTCAATGACATTCGATGGAAATTTTCGAATTCTCCAGATGGTTCTTGTATGAGTTCAACAAATTGTTGCTCCATACTACGTCTGCAAAAATATGAAAAATAAATTAAAAATAATCATAATAGTAATAATAATATGTGCCTATGTTTAGACTTTTCTACCTATGGTAAAAGTTCTTAATTGTGCCTTGTTTACTAACCTAGTTCTGTTCCGGTTGCATCGCAATCATCCACCATCTTCTTTTTCTCCATTTTCCTTTTTAATTTTTGTTGTATATAAAACACGCACGTAATTATAATACGCGAGCGAACACATTGCAACAGCAGCTGCCTCTTGAACGTTATTCATGTTAAGGGTACGGGAGACTCAAGACGACTGAGCTCTTCGCGAAGTAGCACGAGTGTGTGGTCACGTACTTCGACTTCGACGAGCACTTCGCGAGTAGTGTGGAGGAAGCATTAGATTCAAATTTCGATTTAGGTATCTTAAAAAATATTTTTATACACCATCACTCCTATAAAGTAAAAAAATTGAAATACATAAAACGAAAATAACAAAGACAAATCTTTGATAGGTTAATATTTAAATAATAAATAAGACGTAACCCTTTTACCACAACTTTGTACGATAAATTAATGGAAAAAATACACGACCACAAATTATAAGGATTATTCCGTTTATCCACCATTGACTTGTATATTACTAGCGTAAGGACCGCGCCGACCGAACAACTAAAACAGACCAGTGCGCTGGCCCTAAAATTACAGTTTAGGACCAACGCGAATCGGTCGTCAGTGGTGCGCGCGCAGGATAAATTTGCTTGTCATCTTGTCATAAATATGCCCAGTTGCGTGGTAAAAGGATGCAAACATTACGATACAAAGATTAAAAAGGAACATGAGATATCGTATCATCGGTAATTAACCTTACATTAATTTTGTTACAATAAAAGTATTATATAAACGCATTTTTTACAGTTAGTCAGTTTAGTTAAATTACCAAGATTAGGTCAGGGTTGGATTCAGACTATACGAATAAAATTATAGTATTTGTCAAAAATTGTATCACGTTTGATGTTTCTTTTTTCCCATGCGCCGGGATTTTGGCGGCACGCGTTTATCTATACCGAAACGTATAAAAGATAAACTAGACTTTTTTGACGGTTTCATTTTTATTTCTGCTTTACTTTTGTCTAAAGAACTTAATGTAAGCTAAATTTTGAATATTCGTACCCAATATATTTTATATTCAATAAGGGTAAAACGAAAAGAGTATAAAAGAAACTACCTACTAAATTGAAACTGACAATCTGATTCATAAAATATTTTGAAATTCTGTTTTTAAACCGATTGCTTCTGGAGCATAGAGTTTTTATCGTGGTAGCCCCACATTATAGTTGTATCAAGGATACAACTCAAATGCATCGATTGAGCACTGATAGACCAGAAAGGAAGCTAATGCTAATCTTATTTTAAAAAAACGCAGTACTCATGTTAGAATTCTCTCTCTTCATAGAGAAATTCTCGATATCATACGGCTAATATTTAAAAAGTAAAAGGGCCCAATAATATTACAAGTCGGCTTAGTATTATTACTGAAACTTAAATAATGTTACAGATACGATAATTATACTACGAAATCCGACCCTGGTTACGTCGTGTTATGACGTTTGTATAATGACACATGCGTTACTTTTTTTTATGAAGAAGTTATGTGTAAAATATTTAGATGGGCGTATCCTTCCTTTTGAAAACATTTTTATCCACCCTAAAAAAATCCACCCAAGGGTGGATGATACTCTGAAACGCGTGTCCATCTATCCAACCCAGACGGGGTAGTATAAAAGTGTAGTATAATCGGAATTCACCTTTGTTCTGCGGTGAAACCCCAGGTACCTTTCAACTCATACACATTAATTATTAATTAATTTTCAATAACCACAAACTTAAACAAAAATCATATAACGTTAACGTTACAGTCTATTAAAGTCCACGCATTACGTATTGCATTTAAATCAAATTAAACTTCCTTGATTTCAAATAATATTATTACGCAGTTTATAAATTCTGCAATATGACCTGAAAATTACCAACACTAATTTCATTAATGAGTGGACGTAATTTGATATCCTGAATAAATTCTTCACTTAATGTACATTTACAAAATTCTCTTCTAAATTTCTTTGCTACAACAGATGTGTTAGCGAAGAACTGGGCGTTTTTGCAAGCATTCCAAAATTTAGTCCAGTTTAACTCCCGAAGATACAGGTTTGCGCGTTTACCGCTAACAGAACCCCTTTGTCGCATCTCTTCGATTTCAGGACACTCCCCTTGCTGCCACAGCTAGCATCGGTATCCTCGGTGTAGACATATCGAATGATGTGCAGTTTCATGGTCACTTGGCAGGGAAGCTAAATTGGCCTCTAAAGAGCTTGGCATGCTCAGCAGAGCGGGACAGTATTTCATGCCGGCACACAGCCTGCAACTTTACCAAGACCCAAGTTCGGCCTCACATGGAATATTGTTCCCATCTCTGAGCCGGGGCACCCCAGTGCCAGCTCCTCTTGATCCAGCGCAGAATAGCTCGACCGAGTCCTTTCTGATCGGCTTAACTGACTCACTAGCACTGCGAAGGTTTGTTACATCTCTTTGTATTTTTATTGCCTCTACCACGGGGAGTGCTCTGAAGAATTGTTCGGATTAATTCCAGCGGCAATATTCGTGAAATATTGCCGCTGGAATTACCCACATCGCGACATAGCTCACGATACCATCCACACCATCTGGATGCTTGACTGTCCACCACTGTGCGTTTTACTAGGAGTTTTCTTCCTCGTACCTCTTTGTGGAATCATTTACCAACGGCGATTTTTTCGGACCGATACTACTTAGCGATCATCAAGAAAAGAGCTTACTCCTTTCTAAAAGGCCGGCAACGCACCTGAAATCCCTCTGGCGCTGCAGTTGTACATGGGCGGCGGTAGTCATTCGCCATCAAGTGAGCCGCATGCTCGTTTGGCCTCTTATAATCATGTTTCTACATATGACTGTACACAGTCGAGGGAGAAAATCATATCGAATTCCGATTATCCACCCCGTCTGGAGAAGATAGATGGCCACGCGAATGCGAGTATCCAACCTAGGTTGGATTTTTTAGGTAGATTGGGTATTATTCATTATCGCATAACTTTGGTTTTGCAGTGTTGACACTGACTTATTCACGCCCATGAATGTGACATAGATGCCGACTTGTCACATTTTTTATATAAAAGTTCCTTGGATTAGTCGCATCAAATTTAAAGTATATATTACTGTTGGTAAATCTGTATTTTATAAAAAGTATTTACTTAATATATACTGGACTGTTCGTATTTCGTGCAACAGAAATGAAGCTCTACAAAAAGGATTATATTGGATAGTCTCGAAAGTTCGATGTGTATTCACGGTCAGGTACAATATTGTATTGCATCATTATTATAGAATTAAGATAGCAATCATTTAATGGCACAAGAAGTTTTAGCAATTTTCAGAGAAGCATAGGTTTTGTTGGATTCTTGAACTTTCAATGTTACAATATGAAATACTTCTTAGGAATCATACTGAAGATATAAAGCTCCTTCCTTAATTAAATAAAGATATTATAGTTCTTCCAATTCACAAGGTCGACCCTTGGATGTTGTTCGATACACGCACAGTGTCAGTGTGTGTGTACATGTCGAACCAGGAATGATGTAGTGTGTCACTTTACAGTTTTACATGATTAATAATGTGAGATGTAGAAAAAAAATTTTAGGCTAACAAATATTATATAAATATAAGTATTATATACATGTTATATAATGTTATGTGTAATATATATATATTGGTCATTACAAAAAAATATGTATATACATTTTAAGTCCACTTAACCTTTGATATGAGTAAAAGTAAAGTAAAGTTACAGCCTATATACGTCCCACTGCTGGGCTCAGGCCTCCCCTCATTTCTCAGAGGGTTTAGGGCAATGTAGTGTCCGCCACGCTGCCCCAATGCGTGTTGGCGAACTTCACATGTCTTCGAAAATTTTTTGTTTCTTATTCCTCAGACATGCAGGTTTCCTCACGATGTTTTCCTTCACCGCCGAGCACGTGGTAAATCAGCACTTAAAATTGCATTTAACAATTTCATTGGTGCCGGCGGGGATCGAACCCGGGTTACTCGCGTTCCGTTATATTTACAGCGAACGTTAACCATCTGAGCTACCACGGCTCTTGTTTGACTATTGATATGAGTGGTGTACAGAAATATTAAATTTAGCATCATATATGTGGAAATTGCTTTTACTATATTCTGATAGCGTAAGAAAACTAAAACTGGTTTAAGTTTTCTGGTTTAAGGTTAAGTTTTGGAAACCCAGTTATATGCCAGAGACCATGGAGGTTAGAGAGAAGGAGAACGATCGCCTAGCCCGCCTGTCCCTGAACTGCCGTGGTAAGTAGTATCTGCGAAGTTAGCTGTTTATGAGTGTGTACAAGTAGATAAAGTTAGTTGAATAATGTACAAATTTTCTTTGCGGCATTGGTGAGAAAATAATCGTGCTCCGTAATGTTATAATTTTTGGACAAAAAGAAACATTAAAAAATGGTGAAGTATTGTATTGTGCGTGGATGTGCAAGTGGTTTAGCATCTCATCGGAAAAATAGACTGAAAATGACTTTAATTGACCGAACCTCGAGCGATCGCAGCGCCTCACTTATTTTGTCCATATTTCTGGGACGCTATTTCCTACAGCGATCGTTCTCCTCTCTAACCTCCTTGCCCGAGACTTTCAAACATGAAGGTTAGAGAACAGGAGAACGATCACTACGTACTAAAGCATAGCCCGCCTGTCATTGAAAGTTGTAGAATACATAGCGGCGCTGACGTCGGTGAGTAGTGACTGCGAAGTTAGCTGTTTATGAGTACTGAATAGTATACAGTATTATATATATATATATATATATATATATAAGTAGATGAAGTTAGTTGAATAATGTACAAATTTTTATTTTTAATGAGAAAATTTTCATGCTCTGTAATTATGTAATTTTTGACAAAAAGAAACATTAAAAAATGGAAAAATATTCTATTGTGCGTGGATGTGCAAGTGGTTTAGCATCTCATCGGCAAAATAGACTCAAAATGACTTTTATTGACCGAACCTCGAGCGATCGCAGGGCCTCACTTATGGTGTCCATATTTCTGGACACTATTTTCTACGGTGATCGTTCTCCTGTTTTCTAACCTCCATGCTTTCAAATGTAACTTAAAATTAACTATGTACCCACACATTTCATGTTACCTTCAGTTATTCATTATACCTTCAGTTCTGTTTTCTAACTATGATAACAATGAATGAAATGATAACTAATAAATAAACAACTTTATTACACAATACTATAAACTTTTTCAACCACCCTTAACAAAGCATGGCTAACCAACAAGGAGCACGTCAGAGTCGCATGACGTGATCGCCAATGTGCTTCAAGTGTGGCGATTACCACAAACCTCTTTTCTTTTAAGGGAAACTCATGGTCAGCAATAAATTTCTTAAGAACTAATAAGAATTAAAAAGTTATGTTTATATTTCCTAAAACTATTTAATATCATTGTATTCACGAAAAATAGAACAGCTTTTTAAACATACGAAATTAATTTTCTACCTCAAATTTTAATGCCAGACTGAGACCGGCACCTCTGTCCCTGAAGCCTAGCATCAAGCTATCTATGACAAGCATAGTTTAACCAGTCGAAAAATACATTATGTTCCGCTATTCGGTATTACAATCAGATTGCCATTAAACTAAACAATTAATTATAAACTATCTACCCTTTATTATTTACATTGCCATATATATATTTTGATTTTGAAGTCTTTTCTATTAGAATTTTACAACTCTTCTATGAAATAAACCAATTACGTTACTTAAAGTTGTTTAATTAAATAATTTTTCAATAAAACATCGCTCACTACACCCCCCCCCCTCACCCCCCACACCCTATGAACAAGGACGACGATGGATGCAGGTGGCTCGTGCTTAGTGGCATTCCTTAGGGGAGGCCTATGCCCAGCAGTGGACTTGTGAAGGGCTGCAATGATGATGATGATGATGATAAATTAAATAATTGTCTTGTTATAAATAACTAGATGTAATAATTACAGGCTATAAATATTATGTTAAATACATTCAGTATGTCTTTACTATAATGGATTTTATTAGATTTACATTCTTCATAATGTCAGTAATTTACATAAAAATCTACTGTTACATAAAGGAACCCTGTCCTGTCCACTGTGACCAATCTTACCGAAAACTGCGGATTTCAAAACACAGCAGGCAAGTGCGAGATTTTGTGCTAGTTGTGCAACCAGCCGGCGGCCTGTAAGTACTGTCGGACGGCAACGTCCACGTCGCTTTCAGCGGCTGTCGGTCTACGTAGTAGCACTCCTTTCAGAGTTACGTACTGAGCTGGTGCTAGGCTCAGCGCTGAGCATATCTGAGAAGCAGAATTTTAACTCTAAAATAAATTCATTAAATAACTAAAGTAACATGTCTATTATTAAAAATAATTCCCAAACGCCATTTTTTTACTAAGTTTTGCTCTTTTTCGTATTGTTTTTCAATACGTTACCATAGCCTAATATACTCTCTTCCTTATCGGGCAGTTTGATAAATATCCAATACTTGAAAAATTATTTGAAAAACCCGACTACGTAAAAAGCTAAAAAGTTAAGTGAAAAGAGTAAAATTTTATATCTTTTGTCTCTTACACAAGTAAGACGAATTTAACCCCTTTGTTAACATCCATCCAACAATTTAGGCTATAGAGCGTACTAAAGAAACAGACATATACATACACTCGAAAAACATTACCCCTTTTTTGGAGCAGTCAGGCAATAATAATAATAAAATATTTATTCATTGACCAAAAGCAACAAAATATTTAAAAGTTAAACTACCTAATACAAAAATAATATTGTAAGAAGGACAATGAAAGGGCTCTGACTCAGAATGAGTTACAGAGGATCTACAACGCTGTTAGTCTGTCAGCACCCATATACTTATTAACTATAGAATAACAGTACGCATACATCACTGATTATATTACAAGCTAGCTTCTAAGCCGCGGCTTCGCTCGCATGGGCTTCCGTTGAGGAACATCATTAATGCTCCATACCAAATTCAACAAAGTTGGATCACTTGTAGAGTCGCCTCGTTGTCATGTTTGTTTGTTGTTACTCAAGTGATATCTTTTGAATTCTTAGAGATTATTAGAGGTAGATTTTTTTAGAATTGCATTAATATCATACGTCTAGCAACCCCTGTCACTTTTTATATCGGTCATGACTTCTGAGGTATCTTTGAAAAGGGTAAATTATTTTTGATTCAAAGTTACATTATTTACTTTTTACTCTTTACATTTATTCATAAATTAAGGTAATTTAATTTTGACCAAATAATGTCGAATTTCATTGTCTTCTATTAATGTACGGCAGAGTGTTTATTTGCGATATTTGTTTTATATTATTGGCCTATTGAATATTGATTGGCACTATAAAATAGTTGCTTATAGTTTTACTAATCCATCAAATAGAGATAAAAACTTACATCAGATAACTTAATACCAAGGAAGTTAGTGAAATTATTGCTATTCCGATATACACCCAATAAGTATAGTTATCTACTAAAACTTTTCTCTTTTAATCACAGTTTTGTATACATAGTATATAGTATCCAGTATAACAGAAATAATGGCTGGATATTTTAAGTTTTTCATCTAATCAGTTAGTTATTATTAGTTTATTTAGCAGTAAATAGATGGCGCTAATTTTAGATTAAAACTATGAAGCCAAAACACTCAAGTTAGGTAGATGTGGCCAGATCGTAGAATTGATCATATTATCATTAAGTGCTGGACCACTTCAAATATCGCAATCATTTCATGATAGCCTATTATTACTGACCATCTCTCCATAGTATAAAACAAAGTCGCTTCCCACCGTCTGTACGCTTAGATCTTTTAAACTACGCAATGAATTTTGATGAGGTTTTCATCAATAAATATAATGATTCAAGACGAAAGTTCTGTTACGATATAATTAGAATATTTTGAAAAAGCAATGTTAGATTTAGTTGTTAATTTCTTCAAACAATGTTTATTCATCGATTTGGTCAAGCCTTATCATGATATGGTTAACAGAAAGTGTTAAATTTCACGAAATGCCACAATTTCATGTAATGATTGAATATTCATGATAAAATCAATTCTACGATCTGGCCATGACGTATACAAAAATACCTTTAAGTAAAGTATAAGTGTAATGAAAGTTTTGCAAAAATCGCAGGCAAACCAATGTTAATCAGTTCATTATTTAATATTAGTAATTAAACTAAAAACCATCTGAATTTTCACAGATTTCACTATTATCTATTTAAATTATTACTATTAAAATGAAAAACTTAAAATAAATCTTAGAAGTTTCAAATCATGTAGTAAATATAATTATTTAAACATATAAATGTAAGTTATGTTATTTAATTTATTAGTAATTTATTAATTTAGTAGTAACAGATAAATGAAAGCTAAATAATAAATAAACTTTTCACTTTTTATGACAGATGACGCTGTTTCGAAAACATAGATCGTTGGTGTAGTTTCAAATTATTACATAACAGTTGAAACGAATTTTAAACTTTAATTATAAATATTGTACTTGTTTAAAAAACATTAAGTAATCCTGCTTATAACTAACAAAATCAAACATAATAGAAAATTAACTTCTAAAGAAAAGTAAATATTTAACCCTCCTTTTTTAAGTTCCGTAATCGGATAAAAACTAGCCTATAAGTAGCCCCGGGTCACTAACTGCCTGCATACAAAATTTCATGGAGATCTGTCCAGTAGTTTTTGCGTGAATCTTTAATACACAGACAGACAGACAGACAGACAGAAATTCTAAAAACCAGTAATTTGGCTTCAGTATCCTTTATTTAGTCATTGGATTTTTAGACATTGTATATGGTCCTGGATTTGTTTTTTCAGGAAATATTAGAATTACAGACACGACTTTTTTTTATAGATTTATTATATGTATATATAGTAATTGATTTGTTTGATTATTTATTCAGCCAGTAACAAGAATAATTTAATCAGCCAGTACAAGTCTTCATATTGTTACTATTAGTAGATTAATAATTAATGGGACCAAATTAAGAGTACCCTTAACCGACGAGCATGTATGCGTAGGTATATGGATGTGGAAGAGGCGAGAGAGGTATGTCAGGATCATGCTAAATGGAAGTATGTAGTCTCTGCCTACCCCTCTGGGTGACAGGCGTGAGTATTTATGTTATGTTAATTAATATTAATGTACAAAATATGAACATGCAAAAAATAATATTAGAAGTGGAGCAACAGTAGTGTTTGATTTATTCAGACTAATTATGGTATAATTATACTAAAACAACATAGAGGTCAAAATAATTAAAATATATATAAAATTTTTCTTTTTAAATTAAGGTCTACAGTATCAAAACTACAAACCATTTATTTATTAATTTTAGGCAAACATAAGTGTAGCAACATTTTATTTTTATGAGCATAGAAATTCAGGTAAGTTTTCATTACCTTTATCTCATTATTGTTGAGAAGCTGCGTCGAGCATACGGCGCTGCTGTTGCTGCATGAGCTCTTTTTGGAGCATCCACATGCGGTACTTCCGTCCCGTGTGCACTTTGGGCTGGTGGAACTTGAGCCGCCTTCGCCGTCTCTGGAAATGTTTTTATATACCATATAAAATAAAAAATTGTGTCAGTACTCGAGAGTGCAAGAACGAGATTACTAGCGATTCCCGAGATCAAGTACAATTAAAGTGCGTATGTACCAAGAAGCAAGTGCAAGGACAAAGGTACTGGCAGTGCACAAGATTAACTATGTAGACCGGGAGTGCGTGTGTACTTAAGATGCGAGTGCAAGGACAAAGGTACTGGCGTGTTCGGGTCACAGATTAACGGAGTGCGTGTCAGATTCAGTACTGGCAGTGCACAGATAAAAAGGGAGCGGGGTTAGTTGGGGCTACTTGCGAGTGCGTGTGTGCCTTAAGATGCAGGAGGTTCGGCGGTTCGGTCAGTCACTGGGGTCAGTTCAGATGCGAGGGTTGTGGGGGAGTGCGTGTACTTAAGATTGAGTTAGGTGCGAGTGCGAAGGGCAAAGGTACTAGCGGTTTACGAGATTAAGTACGCCGGAAGTGAGTGTGTATTAATGATAAGAGTGCAAAGACAAAGGTACTGGCGGTGCACCAGATCAAGAACTCTGAGAGCGCTTTTATACTGGAGAGGGCAAGGATAAGATTACTGGCGGTTCACAAGATCAAGTAGATTGGGAGTGCTTGTGTGCTGAATGTGAAAGTGCATGGACAAAGGTACTGGCAGTGGCAGAACACACAATATCAAGTACACTAGGAGTGTGTGTGTACCGAAGATGCAAGTACAAAAGTAACCCTGTTCACTTGATGATCACATGATGTCACTTTATGAAGCTCATCTGATGATGAAAAACATCAAAAGGTAATAACTTCCTATTGTGAAGTTGTATGTTAGTAATCTTTTTCGACTTCTTGCCTCGAGAGCAAACGACGGTAAATAAGTGGCTTCTGCATTCTATGGACATCTGCAACCAACTTTAAGTTATTAATTTATAATATATTTATAAAAGAAACTAACCTTTTTCTTTGCGGCGTGCTGGTCTGCATTTGATCTCTTGTCTGATTGGTGTCCAGGCACCCACTGCTGCCCTGGCGAAAACAACCGTTATACAAGATCAAACCCAAAACTACACATCCAAAGCGTGGAGTGTCTGTACTCACGCCTAATGGCATATGGTTTAATACAGGTTACTTAATTTCCTTAAGGACAAAATCATGATGGTAAGAAATAGAAAGTGCCAATAAAAGCTTTTTTCATATTAGAAGACTATAGTGTTACTTCCTTTCTATACCAGCCTTTCTTGCACCAACTGGTATGAATAAGATTAAAACTACTTTTACGGATTTTATCGCGTTTATTTTTACTTTTTATTTACTTTTATTTTTAATTCCCGACGTTTCGGCCGCTTTCCAGCACCCATGGTCACGGGGGACTGAGATGACTGACGTCCCGATGTCATTGTTAAACCTGGAGTACCTTCAGCTTTTTTAATTATTGTTTATGGTCCGATCTAATGCAAAATGAACTATGTCCTGAGGTCTTGCAGTGGTATGCTTGGGTTTAGTTTTAATTTTATTGATTATAGGATCCCAAGCAGGTGGTAGTACCCAGCCTCCTTCTCTATTGAAATTAGGATGCTTTTTAATTTCAATAGCCTCACGTATCATCCTTGGTAGGAATCGGTGTTCTTTCGCGAGGATTTGTGGTCTATCAAATCTGATGTAATGGTTGGGTCCGTCTAGGATATGATCACAAACTGCAGACTTCCCGGATGAAATTAAAAAACATCCTAATTTCAATATAATATCTATAATATCTATAAGTCGCAGACTTCGCGAAAAGAACAAGATTCTAAAAAGATACAAAAAGTATAGAAATCTTTTAGATGAGATTGAGTTGAATATTTTGTCTAAAAAGGTGTCAAAAACTTGGTACTACCTGTTACAATGCATACCTTAATAACATTGAGGATAGAATATCTAGAAATACAAAAGCATTCTGGTCTTTTATTAAAAGTAAACGTAGTGGCTGTAGTTCATACCCAACCAGTATGACGAATGGAGATATGATTGCAAATGATGGGCCGAGCATTTATAATCTTTTTGCTAGTCACTTTGCCGAAGTTTATACCAAAGCCACATTGTCACCAACTCATAACTCATCAGTACTCAAAGATACTGCTAATAGTAGTTCGTCATTCGGTGGTCTCTATTTTCATCAAGAAGCAGTGGTTCGCGCTTTGAAGTCCCTGGACGTAGATAAAGGCGCTGGACCCGACGGTATTCCACCCTGTTTCCTAAAAAATTGTGCCTTAAGTATTGCTGTACCTCTCTGCTTTATATACAATACATCTTTAGCAAAGGGCATATTTCCCAGGGAATGGAAAATCGCAAAGGTGGTTCCAGTTTTTAAGTCTGGTGATAGTGATTTGATTATAAATTATAGACCGATTTCAATCCTTTCCTCAATGTCTAAGGTCTTCGAAATTTTGATCTGTCCATATATTTCCGCTTATGTGAAACCATTTATCACAGTCCACAAACATGGTTTTTTGAAATCTAGATCAACTGCCACAAATTTGGTTTCCTTTGTTGAGACTCTAACGCAAGCCATTGACGCTGGCCAGGAAAGTAATTTAAACAGATCTCAGCAAAGCCTTTGATAAGGTGCCGCACGAAGTATTGATTAAGAAGTTGTCAATTTATGGTATTAATGGAACCTTGTTAAACTGGTTTGATTCATATTTGAATAAGCGCAAATTCTTTGTAGTAGTAAATGGTTTTAATTCTAAGGAATATGCCATAGATTCGGGAGTGCCACAGTGTTCAAACCTGGGTCCTATTTTATTTAACATTTTTGTTAATGACGTTGTTGATTGCATCTTGTATTCTACTCCGTACTCGTACGCCGATGACTTGAAGTTACTACGAGTAATAAAAACAACACAGGATTCCATATTATAACAAGAGGATATAAATAGTCTAAGTCGTTGGTGTGAACGGAATGGCATGCAACTAAATGTGGGCAAATGTGTTTATGTCAAATTTACCCGAAACAGAAAACTTTTGACTCTGCTTATTTTATTAATGGTACAAAATTACAGGAAGCTGACCATATAAGAGATCTTGGTGTTAACCTTTGCTGCTCACTTAGAGAGTATAATAAAAATCTATAAAAAAAAAAAAGATCTTCAAACATGCTTGGATTTATTATTAGAATGGGCAAACAGTTTCGGAGGTTGCAAACAAAAAGGCTCCTGTACAACTCTTTTGTCCTGAGTATTCTGGAATACTGCAGTGTAGTATGGCGACCACACTATGCATGTCACTCTTTAAGGTTGGAACGGATTCAGAAGAGATATCTTTGGCACCTAGCCTACTCAGCCAATAAATATAAAAAAGGGTTTTCCTACAAAAACAGATTGAAACACTTTAAGTACACTACCTTGGAAAACCGTCGTATAATGCTTGATCTCGTCTTTTTGTACAAATTATTTAACAACAAAATAGATTGCCCAGGCTTACTGAGAAAATTTAGATTCAATGTACCACACAAATTACCTAGGACTAAAATATCACCATTAGTTCCACCATTGCGCACAACAGTTTTGGGCTCAAGTTCATTTGTCCCTAGAGCAAGCAGACTTCTAAACTATTATGGTAAAAACATAGATATCCATGCTACAAGTCTGAATAAGTTTCGCAAACACTTGCAAAAAAAAAATAGTCGAGTTATAATTAAGTAATTTTTATGTTCATTTATATACTGTGCTGTTATTGTTTCCTTTTTTCTCTTTCTTTTTCTCATTTATTGTGAACACATTAAGTCACTTATAAATATTGGATGTTACTACCCTTAATATTTTGTGCATGTGGTGTTTACCTTAATTAATTGTGCATTTGGCTGTACATGTTATTGTTAAATATTCATTGATGTATTATTGTTACAATTACTGGTAAACCTAATAAATAAAATTAAAATAAATAAATAATATATATATATATATATATATATATATATATATATATATATATATATATATATATATATTCCCGTAACTTATTGTACGTCCACTATGGCCAATTTTGCATATAACGTGGCGTCAACCTGCTTACGACGTCCAATATACGGACGTCAAATAGGAGACTTAGCGCAATGTTCGCAAATTGTCATGCTGATCACAGAAATGTCAAAATCTAAAAAAAAATTGGACGTCATTTTTCTTCCAATCTTGCTGTACTGAATATTTACGTAGTTCCGCTAATTTTCGTTGCAAAAATAATAGCGCTGCTGTCGATTTGTGAATACTTTCATTTATGGCCGTATTTGACTTCCGCACAAAATTAGAAGATGCGACGTTGCCGTTCCGTCACCGTTGCCAACGTGTTACTTGTAATTGGTGATATATGATATGACTGCCTCGTTGGTCTAGTGGTTGTAGTAGTGCGACTGCTGATCGTGAGGTCCTGGGTTTGAATCCCGGGTCGGGCCAAAAATTCAATTATTGAGTTTTTCTGTCAAGAAATTCTCAATAGCTGCCCGGAGTCAGGAAGTTGACGGTGTATCACCCCCTTGCCTCGGAAAGCACGTAAAGCCGTTGGTCCTACGCCTGATCTCTCTCCGGTAGTGTCGGTTTACCGTCCCATCGGATTATGAGAATGAGGGAATAGAGAGTGCACCTGTGGTTGCGCATACTATTGGGCACTTAATTCTGTCCTGCGCCGATGGCTAGTCTCCGTTGAGGCAGGCCGCCGTGACTGTAATTCGGTCTGCAGGACATTATTATATGGTTTATACTGCGCTTGGTACTAGTAATTTTACTTTTAAACTTGTTTTCTTAACCTTACATTTACCTACACATAACATGGACGTCCTAATATCCTAAAACTTTCATACTGAATGATATTTGACATCCGTATTTTTGAATTTAGTTATATTTTTATAAATGTAGATGCGGACGTCGGCTTATCGGTTTATTTCATGCTGCACTATATTTTAACATTTTAAATTTGGTACTAATCTGCCTAAAAGAACTCTTGTTAGGTATTTCGTAAGCAACCCATAATTCTGTTTGATTATAAGTTACCTTCTGGTTGAGTACAGGAAGATGGACTCAATTGTAGATATTGACAGGTTTCATAGAAGTTTGTTTTATTATATTGTGACTAATAACCTCTGACTAATAACCTAATATGGTCTGGCGAAGAAACTCATTTTAATATAAGGTTTTACTGCATTAACTGCCAGTAGGTTGTTAATTTGTACAATAGACCGTGGCATATCGTTGCTGACATAACTCCCAAAATATAATTTATTTACTTGATCGTGTTGAGTTTTGGTGCTCTCACTGCATCGTAAGGATGAGTGCGACTATTGTACCTAATCTGTACGAAATTACTCTCTACTTAACTAGATTCATTTTTGTGAAAGGCTATTTTTGTTAAATTATGATATTATGTTTGGTTTTGCAGTTAGTTGAAATACAATTTAATTTTTCACACACGTTTTCTAAGCTTCTAAGCGTTTTATCATTTCTAGAACGAAACATTTTATAAAACACCAAAGTGACTATTTTACACCGCATGGCCTCCCTACACTATAATACGAATAAAACAATAGCGAAAAATGTCATTAAAGCAATGGTCATTAATGTGTGTCTTATACACAAGGAATTAAAATATAAATATAATCATGGTTACATGGACGTCAAATATCATGCGGTATTAAACTTTACCGATAATCTGACGTCAACATATAGAAATATAACTAAATTCAAAAATATGGACGTCAAATATCATTCAGTATGAGGTTAGGATTTTCGGACGTCCATATTATTATGTGTATACAGGTAGTAATTTAAAGTTGAAATTTTGGCGCACACAGTGCCCCAAAAACCGCTACAAACGGCAATATTTATCAAAAAAGAAATAAGAAAGGTTTTCTAAGCGTTTTATCGTTTCTAGAATGGAGCATTTTATGAAACACCAACATGACTATTTCATACCGCATGGGCTCCCTACACGAAAATAAAAATAAAACAATAGCGAAAAATGTCATTAAAGTAATGATTGAACATGACAGAACATTAATGTGTGTCTTATATATACACAAGAAATTAAAATATAAATATATTCATGGTTATAGGACGTCAAATATCGTGCGGTATGAAACTTTGCCGATAATCTGACGTCCACATATAGAAATATAACAAAATTCAAAAATATGGACGTCAAATATTATTCAGTATGATTGTTTTAGGATATTCGGACGTCCATATTAATTATTATATGTAGCTAAATCTACTAACAACTAGCACTGAGTACAGTATAAAGCGACAAAAATACCAAAATATGCCTTGAGCACTAAATAAATAGTCAACATAAATAAATAGTAAAATGCAATTATCAACAATAACTTTGGACATTGGATATCGAAGAAGTGAACGTCAAATAAAACTTAGTGTGAATATTTTAGGATATTCTTACGTCCGTATATGGGTAAATACTCCGTTCAATGTCCATGTCAAGTACATTAATCAACTTACACAAGTTTATTTACCTAAGTTACTAAATATAACCAAAGAAACTTAAATGCAAGCAAGCATAAGCGTGGAAAGTACTCAATGTGCGTAGGTCCCAATTCGGACGCCAATCGGAGCACGACATGCATGTTTTTAGTAATATAGCGTCCAATATTTATAACAACAAACACAAACAAATTTTATTTCAACTAACTGCAAAACCAAACATAATATCATAATTTAACAAAAATAGCCTTTCACAAAAATGAATCTAGTTAAGTAGAATAATTTTGTTCAGGTTAGGTAAATAGATCGCACTCATCCTTAAGATAGTGATCATAAAAAGTAAACTCGCAGTGAGAGCACCAAAACTCAATATGATCTAGTAAATAAATTATATTTTTGGAGTTATTCATGTCACCAACAATACGCCACGGTCTATTGTAGAAATTAACAACCCATTGGAAGTTAATGCAGTAAAACCTTATATTAAAATGAGTTTCTTCCCAAGGTCATATTAGGTTATTAGTGACAATATAAGAAAATGAACTTCTATTAAACCTGTCAATATCTACAATTAGTACTTATTTAGAATAGTAAAATAAATAACAATATAGTCAATCTATAATGTATCACGGCTGGGCAATCCTAGATATTTTTTCGTATTTAGTAAACGAATAACTAGTTGGTAAATTAATCATGATATCTATCTGTTTTTTTTTTCGCCGGAGACAAAAATGATATTGCGTATTTTTCGTAACTGCACATTCTGTGGATTTATTTCATTATTTTGAACAATATATAAACCTTAACTGAATAAAATTAAATCTAATCTGAACCAGAATCATAAAAACTGCTAAAAGAATCTAATAAAGATCTGTTATTTTAGTCTCCTGCGAAAAAAACAGACTACAGGAATCTATCGAATACCTACATAAACAAAATATCACCTACTATAAATAAAATATTACAAAGCGGAATAACTGATAAGAGTGGCAACGTCGCACCATACAAAGGAATTGCGTTAAGCAGGAGAATTAATTAAAAACTATGTATATTACGGGGATTCTGGATAATTTGTAATATGGAAGGGAGTCCTGATTGGTTTCCCTCCGTCTGGCAATATACGAATATTTGTATATCGACATATGGTAAATTTTCAAAGAAATGAGTTAAACACTATCTTTGAAATTGTTTAATGGACCAATATTCGCAGTCATAATGTATAAAAATTGCTTACAAGTGGTGGACACTATAATAATGCGAAATGAAAGGACGTAGAATTAATATTGTGATGTATATATATATATATATATATATATATATATATATATATATATATATATATATTGACAGACACTATAGCGGCCGTGAGCAAAAGTCTTGACAGCAATATAGGCGGCGGTGAGCAAAAGTCAATCTGCCGTATGAACAATATCGTCGGCAAATCGAAAGTGTTTGATTTACTCGCCATTGTTGTTAATACCGTATCCTTTCCAGTCTAGTATTTTCAATACGTCTTACATTGCAGCGGTTAAGAATTTTGGGGATACAAAGTTACTCTGTTTTACATCCCTCCGCCGATAGGTTTAGTACTCTAGTTCTGTACTCGGATAGACATCGTAGCCTTACAGGAGGGCTACGATTTCTATCCGACGATTACAGTAACTATACAAATACTTCAACACTTCGATATACCGACAATCAACTTGGCACCGCTAAAGGGACTGTAGTGCTGCTCAAATTTTGACGCCAGCCAGCCGGTAGCGGTGCAGCTCGGCGGGGCGCACCACATGTGACACAATGTGACGACACTCACGTCTAGCGGATGCGCGGCGTGCGGGTGCTTGCGGTGCGCGGCGTGCTGCTCGTAGTGCGCGCACTCCTCGAGGCGCGTGACGCCGGCCAGCCGGTAGCGGTGCAGCTCGGCCGGGCGCACGCGCAACTCGCGCTCGCGCCACAGCCCCGCCACTACGCCGCCCTGCTCCGTCCGCCCGTAGAACTGCGCCGTCCATCGAAGACGTTCTGTGAACTCCCTGCAAGCGATCACACACCTTTACTGGCTGCTCTCGCCTTAAGTAAAGTAAAAAAGTAAAGTTACAGCCTATATACGTCCCACTGCTGGGCACAGGCCTCCCCTCATTTCTGACAGGGTTTTAGGGCAAGGAAGTGTCCGCCGCCCCAATGCGTGTTGGCGAACTTTACATGTCTTCGAAATATTTTTTTTCTTATTCCTCAGACATGCAGGTTTCCTCACGATGTTTTCCTTCACCACCGAGTACGTGGTAAATCAGCACTTAAAATTGCAATTAACAATTTCATTGGTGCCGACGGGGATCGAACCCGGGTTACTCGCTTTCTGTTATATTTACAGCGAGCATTAACCATCTGAGCTAACACGGCTCCTCGAGGGGGCAGTGTAAAGTCGTACATGGGAAAGTTCACGCTTCAAGTAAAATGAATACAAAATTAATTTTGCTTGAAATGACAAAATTGCCGCGCAGAGATTATCTCTTTCCGTGGATATTAATATGAGGTGACTTTAAGGTATGTCAAAAAATTGATTTACCATCTTGTTTATGACAGACACAAAATACTTAGTACTGTCTACTGGGAATTGTAAATAATCCATCTGCTATGCATTAAACCATAGCAAACCTTATTTACATCAAATGTTCTGGAGAGGCAAAGGCCTTATGGACTTCTGTTATTTAAAGAAATATAGTCATTGGACTATATTTTTTTAATAACTGAAGTCACAAATGAGCTTACAGTGCACCTGATGGTAAGTAACAACTGCAGTTCATTCACACCTGCAACAATCTTCAAATGAAGAAGGCTACAAATGCATTGTCACCTCTGAGGATTAAAATCGAATGCCTCAAAGTCTGATTATTATAGTAGTTCTGTATACCCTCGGACTGTAAGACAGTGGTGCAAGCATAGTTACGGCGACGGCAGAAACAGCTAAGAGGGTAGTACCTACTAAGACAGACTTAAGTATGAAAGGAATGCTTCCACCTAGTAAACAAAATGTGTGTGCGAGTGTGTTCTTACAATAAACTGAGCAAGAGTTGAGGGTCATTTGAGGTATATAAAGTATTAAATTAAAATAATTTCACTGATTTTATCATATTTAATTTTAAATTTTTAATTCCAGATGTTTCCTTATATCCTAATTTCAAGATGATTGATGGGTGCTACAATCTATCTTCCCAAAGACGAATTTATAGCGTTAAAGAACCTACGCAATAAACACGAACTTACGATTCTCCGCGCAGATAAGGGAAACGCCACGATAGTCATGGATACGTCAGATTATAATTCTAAAATACAAGAACTTTTGTCGGATGTAAGTACTTATAAAAAGGTTAAAAACGACCCAACAAATAGCACACTAAAAACAACTAGTGACCTCATAAAGAAACACTCTGAAAAATTAAATCTGGACGTAAAATGGATAATACCTACGTGCGCCAAATCACCAAAATTGTATGGGTTACCAAAAATACACAAGCCGAATGCTCCATTACGTCCCATAGTGAGCCAGATCGATTCACCAACTTACAGATTGGCTCAACACTTAGCGAAAATACTCTCACCACTCAGGGGACATACAAGAGCACACATAAAGGATTCCTACCATTTTGTCAGCGAGATTAAAGACCTACATCTGGCAGACAATGAAACTATGGTCAGTTTTGATGTGCAGTCATTGTTTACATGCTTACCTGTTGAAGACTGCATCTCAATTGTAACTAGAAGGCTGGAAGAAAACAACATGCCCGTAGAATATGCAGTATTACTCAGACACTGCCTTACATCTGGCTACCTATTGTGGAAGGAGGAGTTCTACAAGCAAGTAGATGGTGTGGCGATGGGCTCACCTGTATCTCCCATTGTCGCCGACATGTTCATGGAAGACTTTGAGGAGAAAGCCCTGCTTAGTTCTCCCATAAATCCAAGGTTCTACAAGCGGTACGTAGACGACACTTTCACAATTCTACCTTTAGATAAAGTAACTGCATTTTTAGACCATCTTAACTCTATAAATTCTAAAATTCAGTTCACAATGGAGTTAGAGGCAAACAATTCCTTAGCTTTTCTAGATGTGTTAGTAATTCGGAATCCTGATAACACCTTGAGCCATACTGTGTATAGAAAAAAGACCCATACAGATAGATATTTAAACGGTGATTCTCACCACCATCCTTCACAGTTAGCTACCGTGGGTAAATCTTTGTTTCAGAGAGCACGAGGGATCTGTGACAGTAAACACCTGGCTGCAGAGCTCCACCATGTCAAGCAAGTTTTGCATGACAACAAGCTTCGAGTCCCGCGCCTACTTCACAGTGAACGAGTGAAGCCGGCCACAGTCGAGCGTGTACCTGCTGTACTGCCATATGTTAGAGGAGTCACTGACAAGATTGGCTACATCTTGAAGCGCGCTTCCATCAAAACATACTTCAAGCCGCTGAAGAAGATTGGTCAGTTTTTACCATCGGTCAAGTGTAATGTCCCTCTGCAAGATGCAGGAGTGTACAAGCTTGATTGTGAATGTGGTCTCTCCTACATAGGACAAACTAAAAGATCAATAAAAACCCGCGTTAAAGAACATATAGCTGATGTGAAGAATCGACGCTCCGGGAAGTCTGCAGTCTGTGAACACGTACAGGATCGCCCCGTCACTACATCAGATTTGATAGACCGCAGATCCTCGCTAAAGAACACCGATTCCTTCCAAGGATGATTCACGAGGCTATTGAAATCAAAAAACATCCTAATTTCAATAGAGAAGATGGCTGGGTGCTACCATCTGCTTGGGATCCTATAATAAATAAAATTAAATCCCAACCCAAGCATACAACTGCAAGACTTCGAGATACCATAAGTTCATACTGCATAGATCGGAACAAAAGTTAAATTTTAATCTATGGTAACCGCGGTTAACTATGACATATGGACGTTGAACATCTCAGTCCTGCCCGTGACCATGAGTGCTGTAAAGCGTTCGAAACGTCGGGTATTTAAAAAGTTAAAATATACGCGATAAATTCCGTAAAAACTAGTATTATTTCAATGCTACAATCTACTTGAGATCCTATAATTAATAAAATTCAATCGAAACCCTGGCACACCACTGCAAGACTTCAAAGATACATTAAGCTTGTTCTGTGTACATTAGACCAAAAATTAATATTCAAAAACTGAAGGTAGCCGGGCTAAACTATGACTTCGAGACGTCAAACACCACAGTCCCCCGTGACCACAGGTGCTGTATAGCACATGTAACGTCGGGAATTAAGAAGTTAAAATTAAACGCAATAAAATCCCTAAAATTTGTTTCATTAAATGTGTAGTGTTTGCATAAATATAAGAAATCATTATATTACACAAAGTATTCTATTCATCTTCTCTGTCTTTTTTTAAGTTTACTAAAGGCAGCTTCATGACCACTAACAGTATAAAAGAAAAATGATCAAAATACCATTCAAAAATCTTACTTAAATTATTACTTACTTTTTTTCCTTAGCAAGTTTCCCGAGTGTTCTTTGTTTGTTTCGTTGATTATTGAAAAATACTGACACTAACTGGTAATCCCTCACTAGCCTTTTTCTTCTTGTCCTCTCCCGTAAACGGCGCGTGTAAATGTCTACTTGAGACAATTTTAAAGCTGAAATCCAACATTATACTTGTTTAAAGTTAGCATTTATATCTCCACTCCACTTTATAAAATGTGATTGCGATATAATATGTTGGTTAACTCTCGCCATGGGGGACATAACCCAATGGATTAGTAAAGCTGAAGTGGCAATGGGCAGATCAAATAGCTCTAAAAACCGTCAACAGAATGGTTCTTGAGTGGCAGCCTCATATTGGTAGAGGAAATATAGTGTGACACTAGATGGAGGGACAACCTGGTAAGACTTGAAGTAAGTAAATGGATGCTGATGGCTCAGGACCATGCTTTGTGGCATTCCTTGGGGGAGGCCTATGTTCAGCAGTGGATTTGTGAAGGGCTGTAATAATGATGATGATAATCACATAATCTACCGGAAATTGCAGAACAATCTCTGCTGGGCTATCAAATTACTATATAAAAAACATATGCTATTTGGATGTACATCCCAAAATTTACCTTTTCCTACAACCCCATGTAATCCTGTATAAAGTTTATTTCAATATGTTGTGATGAAAAATATTAGAAATAATTTTTATAATCAAAACTCACCAACATCTAACTCATCATCTTCAGGGTTTAATGATAATGTTGATATCAATTGTTCTGCTTCATGATCATGTTCCTGAAATAATTTAATAAATTAAAATCCAATAAACATCTGTAACTTCAAAGCAGACATGTATATGACTGATACTCTTAAACGCACAATATTAATTCTACTGATAAAAAAATTCAGATGGCTTTGCATGGTAAAAAATTACTTTTCCTTATATTAGCGAAATTAGAAAAAGGAACATTATATATAAGTTTATATATAATGTGGAGAAACTTGTAATAGTGTGATAAATTCCCACTGTCACTTCTAATGATCATTACATTTTAACTAGGTCAATGAAGAACATAGGCCTCCACAAAAATCACAACTAAAGTTCATAAAACTGCACTAATTAGGTCGGCATGCCCATAAAGTATGACATTGACAGATACTGTCTGTACTACTAAGAAATTTAGGACTTCATAGGCGTGATTTTTACTGCCAACTGTCGCAGAGATCAAGCTATCTTTTATGAACTATAAGTATGGTTTTGTACCATATAATAATAACATTGATTCTCTTTTTGTTTTATAGCTGCAATCCATCTACTGAGTAGTTCACTGTATTATACAATATGAAGCTACCTCTCAAAAATCTTTCTTCCACATTTGTTTTCAGTTCTTTTACAGACTTTGTTGATTAGTTTGGTTATACAACAGAAATCCTCATTAAAGATACTACCACAAAAAGTTATCACTTTAAATTAATATTTACAAAAAATTATGAAATAATTAATTGTTGTCATTACAGCCTATCATTTTGCAGTCTAAAAGAGATCAACCCAATATTATAACCACACTTAACAGGCAGATCTACAATTACAATGAACTACCGACTGTTGCCGGTATATTAACCACTAAATCCCCTAGCGTACTCATGAAATGAACACCCACCCACAGCACTATAACCCATAAACACTTATATTTAAAAGACTACTTTCCTATGAAGAAGTTTGGCATTATAGAATCAATATGAAATTTTCTATCCTCTAATAGAATAAAAATTCAGTTAGTCTATAGATATTCATTTATAACCTACATTCAAAGTGCATCATTGTCGAGTGTTTGTTGTTGTACATTGTTGCGTTGATCTTTGCATTTTTCTAAATTAAGAACAGTTTTTTTTATTATAAAATTAACAGCAGTAGACTTTTATATGGTGTAAGGGATGAATGGATAGACTAATATCAACAATTACTGATATTACAAATTATTACTTGCCCAATCTAGTTTTTAGTTGATAAAGTTCCCATTATAAACTAAATTATTTATCACTTGTAACTAATTTAATTAGTCATTATTTATTACTAATTTTTGTGTTGTACCTATTCTTGCCTTTTGTGTTGTTAACACACAAAAATATTACTGCGATAGGTTGGCTACAAAAGGATTTACATACAAACAAAATTATTTACCTAAAAATTATATCTTAAAAAATGTTTGAGTTTTAGAATTAATTACCCTTTCAAAATCATCTCTATTTGACATATAACCAAGTTGCAATGCTTCATCTGCTGTAACTGCAAGTGGAGGCAAACGTGAAACTGCACTAGGACCTAATGGGCCTTCATCTCTATCTGCACAATGCAGTGATGGACGGCTGGTACTTTCAACATTGCCCCATGTAGCCCGGCCAATACTGCCTTCCAAATATCTGGCAATGTATTCATCTTTTGCCTCTAAAATAAAAAGAACAAATAAAGGCACAAATGTATCGACATTAATTATTTACAAACCAATGAAACAATGAATGTTCATACCTTCAGGTGATCTAGACTCTATGTGTTTAGCAATATCTTCCCAATTTCCAAAGCCAAATTGTTCTATAGCATCTAATAATCTAACTTCTTCATTGGCAGACCAACTAGTTCGTCCCAAGAATATACCAAAAGCACCAGAGTCCTACAAAACAGTTTGCAAATAAATGTTGATATATCAGTTACCAATTACAATTGAAACTCTTTCCTAGTGTTTACTATAATCTTACCATAAACTGGTAGGAATGATCATTTTTGTGCGGCCCAATTTCAGCACCAAGTGAAAAACACTGTAATTGTAAAGATGTATAAATTTCCACTTTTTAAAAATCGCGCCAAAACTTAAAGCAAAAATGGCATCGATGCCAATTTACCTGCAGGCAAATATCAAAATCTATGCACTCGGCACATCGAACACGAACTCCATTTATCTCCTCTTGACAATATGTGCAGTTATATTTGGCATATAAATCTGAAAACGACATGTTTTCAACTAAAACTTATGGCAGTCATGCGATGGCAAACTTGTGTATCGCTTGCGCTTACCGGCCATGTTTTTTTTTGTTTTTTTTCTATAGTCTACTACTTGCTATAGACCTATAGATATATATACATATCTTTATTTCATAAAAAAAATTGGCTTGGAACCTTGTCTTTTAAGCCATGTCTTCATTTTATTCGGGATCTTCGTTTTTATAGATTTACTATTTATATATTTTTTAGATAACATTGAAAATACTATAATAAAAGAAAACTATTTTTTGGATTTAGAATCGTTTGAAACGAATTTCGAGGAATAGGGTGTTTTATTTTGTAGAGGTTTGGTCATCGATTATAACAATACGACTCGTATTAAAAGATAACGCCAAGATAATGCACTGTTTTCGAGAAAATAAGAAAAAACGATTATAACCCAGAATATAATGTGGAATAACGTATGCAATATTACTGTAAAAGCTGGATAGCATACATAATTTTGTGTAAGTGCGATAAGGATGTAAGACAATGTTAAATAGTGTCACATTGTTAGATTAATTACATACATACTTATTTCATAGATTTAATTATACTATATCTGTGACTTATTTAGTAATTGTTAGTATTTTTATATTTCTGTGTTTAATACTCTATCAAGTGTTACCGTTGATTACTTTATTTACGTGAATGTGTGCTCTCCAGTCGTAGACAGAGACTGTCTACGTCTTCAGTTTATTGTTGTAGCTTTTATTTAAATAGGTTAAAAGACATGGAGGCTATGGAGTGTAGAAGGAAGGAGTACCAACTCCCATAGTAGAATAGTTGAAAAAGTGTCCATCTGTAAGCAGTAAATAACAATCAAATAAAATCTGGGATGAAATTAACTTAGCAGTTGTCGACGGTTTGAAGTGTGCTGCAAAATTTCTCAGTACCTCTAAAATCTAAAATAATTTTATTTAGTAAATATAACCTCGAAAAAGTCGTCTATCCCACTAATATATTTTGGCACGTTCTCTAAAACTTAGCCCGTAGATATAGTGGCGCCACCCTTATTTAACGGTTTTCTATGGACACTTTTTAATACACAGTCTGTACTCCTTACTTCTACACTCCATAACGAAGACTGTGCACAGACTCCGTTGTATTTTTTTTTTGCCACCCATAAATACTTGAGCTATGGACACAAACTAATAAGAGTACTAACCTCTTATTAGTTTCTGGGCTCAGACTCAGAGTAATACCCCTATTACACTACCCTGAACCAGGCGGCCTACGCCCTGATTCAGGGTGGTGTAATAAGAGAAAGGGAGTAAGGGTCCCTAATTGGGGCGTCAACGTCGACCCCGTCTGCAGTGCCCTTCCACCGTGCAGTGTAATAACACTAAAGGAGTTAGGGCACTTATTCGATGCGCAATTAGGTATGCAAACGATACATCAATTCTTTCAAACATAGATATCGTTCATAAACATAGTTCTTCACGAGCTATGTTTTATGAACGATGTTTTGCCGTCAAAGGTTACGAAATAACCAACCATTCGAAGGTATAGGATTCCGTATGTTAAAAGTTGCGAACGATGATTATCACGAATTTTATATATATAAGAAGACTTCTGGCCACTTAGTGAAGTAATCCATCACAACCATAAAATACTTGTTACCACTTTCACTTTCTGGAAACGGCCCTGCAACGTCAAGGGCTATCCTCTCACATGGTGCACCAACATTGTATAATTTCACAGTCGTACAACTTGTATATTTGCGACACCAATCCTCGATATCGTCGCGAGAATAGACCCAGTAAAACCATTCTTGAATCTTCAGTAAAGTTCGTTTAACTCCCAGATAGCCTCTTAAACAAACATTATGGTACATCTGTAGGACATCCGGTACTTTGGCTTTAGGGACAATCACTTGCAAATGACAACTGTCTCCACTACCATTTTCCCATTTAGGGCACAGAACTCCATCCCGAATCAGCAAGCTGTCCCATTGGGCCCAATAACATTTTGTGGTTAAACTCATCGCTGAGACGTCGCTTCATTTGGGCTTGAAAGCACTGGCCTTCATACGCTGTACTTCCACTCGTTGCTGAGATGATCTGTCCTGAGCATCCTCACAGATACCACTTCCTTACCCTCTTGCCTAGTACAATGCTTGCATTCTTCAGGACAAGGTCTTCTTGACAATGCATCTGCGTTGCCATGAGATTTCCCGCTGCCGCTGGGCGGTGCTGTTAGCCGCACTACGCTCTCAAGATCGATCACCTTCCCTTTCCACAGTTTGTTTAGTGCAGCTGGACCGAAGATCGCCATTTTCCCCACAGCCATAGCACCTAGGGCGGGTAAGGTTTACAATTAAGTCGCCTAAATTAGGGGGTTGGTTGGTGTGGGTAGAGGGGGAGGAGTTTTAGAGTCACCCCCTACTTCCCCTTCCTTCCGGACGTGCTTAGTTTTTTTTATAAATTTTTTAAAATCTCATTTTGAGGTTATGTTTCGTAATTTTTATGACAATTTTAACCTGATTTATGGGGGGAGAGAGTAGGGGGACAGAAATCTCACACCACTTAACGTGGTGCATTCGAGGGAAGCCCGGTCGACGGAGCCCTGCTTCGCGGTGCTCCTACTTCATAGTGGTTTACAAAAAAATAATCACGAAGGGGATGGCGGTGTCTATTCGCTCCCTTCGCTCGCTCACTCGACCCTCCCCCCCACTCTAACCTAATTCCCTTCTAACATTCTCCCTAATTTCTAAACTAATTCCTTTCTAACCCTCCTAACCTAACCTATCCGAGTCGGGGTTCCCCACGTCCCAGGCTCGCTTAGCTCGCTATTGCACTCAATATAACACCAAAATATTAACTTTTATAACTACTTTAATTATTTATAAACACAATTTATGGCTGACACCATTCGTAAGAAAGGATCTTTGCAATATTTAGCAGTATTCCGCCGCCAAAAATATTCCACTATTCACCAAAATTCTAAAATTCGGAAGCAACAGCATGACGTAAAGCTGTCAACAAAATGGCCGACCTAGCGATTAATTTTACACATTTTTAAATCGATTTGAATCGAAATTGGATGAGACCGATTTCGCAAAAATCGATCTTTTTTTGATTTGAGTTAAGTGTTTATATTTACAATATCAAAAGATACAATAAAGTACAGATAACATTTGGTTGCGCGGAAAACCATTCGTATTTATTTAATTTGACGGTAGGCTGCCAAATCGGTTATCCCATTACAAAACGATATCATTCATACCCTCCTATCGACACATCGGGGTGGTGGGGTGGGAGGGGAAAGAAGATGATTCTAGAACGTCACGTAATCATCGGAACCGAAGATATTTAAGGCACGCGCGACCGACGCGCAGCCTCTTCCCGCCGCGCTCGTCGTTGAAACCACACCGCTTCTCTCCCGACGTACCTCTGGGGCCCCAGAGTGTTTGTCCAGAAGACGTTCCAGAGGTCGCAGCTATAGTGCTCAACAGCATAGAAGACTGAACCCCGGTGAGTCAATATTCCTAATAATATTGCCTGCTTGATATAATTGTATTTTAACCCGCTCCAATTTTGTTTTCTCCTAATCAAGCAGGATTCCTTTCATCGATTTGGCAAATAATAGTTCGTTTTTAGGGAGGAGCGAGTGCATTGTACCGCATGCTATAGTTGCCGTTTATATAAGTGTAGAAACATTTAGTAGATACAGTTCACTTAGATTAATAGCTCGCGTAATAGGTTTTAAGGTTCGACCGGGGAATTAGACTTCGGCAACCTTAGGCTCGACGCTTCACCAACATTGAATGATTAAATTGAAAAACTGTCATTCCCTACAAGTTGGGGTACATTCAACTAATTGTGAATAATTTTATAGTTCTTAATAAAACAGAAAAAGATTCGATCTCGATTCTCTAGGGTGAAATATCGATTCACTAGACTGATTCAGTACTATATATCGATATGACATTACAGATATAACGTCAAAAACGTGAGAATATTTAATTAATTAGTCATTTACAAATACTTTTAAAAAATAATTAAAAACACTTCGACGCTGCTCCGGCAACAAAAATCACACAACAGATAACAATCACAGAATCCTCAAATTCAGACGACCTAATTGTAAACCCAACCCCTAGGGCGGTATCCTTTATTGCAGTCACGAACTGTAGCTGCTGTAAAGATGATCCTGCTACACGGCTTCCATCTCCAGTGCATGGGCCAAAGCGTCCTTAAGGGTCTCGTGGTGCCCGAGCCTCACAGCAGCTCTTTCTTCACGGTTGCGGATGCCGTCGATGAATGTCTACACCAGATTTCCTACAATGAGTGCAGGTACAGGCTAGTATGCTTTTGGAACTAGCTTCTCACCTCAAGGGCCCACTGCTGCAGGTTTTCATTGCTGCGTTGTACGCGATTTTTAAGCGTACGAAAGATGTGATCCAGGTGAACGTAGCCATATCTCGCCTCCAATGACTCAAGGAGCTGCTCGTAAGTCACTTCCTTACATAGAACTACCAGAACAGTTAAGGCCAGGTCGCGCAGGCCTTGTGTGAGAGCAGTCATGGCCTGACTTTTATTCTAGCCATTTGCCACGATGTCAGCCTCGAACTGGATTTCGTAGGCCGACCATGAAGAAGTCCCGTCGAACTGTGGCACTTTGAAGCCACGCAGCGAATGTGTTGTAGCTACTACGGGGGCTGTTACTCCATCCCCAAGTTTGAAGTCATCCAGCGTTTTCTTTATGTCGGCCATCACGTTGTTCACTTGGTCAATTTGGGTTTCTGCTTCAGGCGGTTGTCATGGTTAGCAACCCTATGCTTCACCTCCCTTATCTCTTTCCCGAAGGTAACGTGAAGGTCTTTCATGAGGAGCATCTGATGTTCCTTATCGCTTTTGAGCTGCTCTTCCATACGACGGGCCTGTTCCTTCTGTCCGCGTTGCAGCTGCTCTTCCTACTGACGGGCCTGTTTCTCCTGTCGATGGGCCTGTTCCTCCTTTCGACGGACCTGTTCCTCCTGTCGGTGAGCCTGTCCATCCCGCTGGTGGGTCTGTTCCTCCTACTGCTTTTTCAACT